CGAGTTGTAAAATGGTGCTACGAATGGCGAAACGTCTGGGACTGTACCACTTCCACGGTCCGACTCTGGAACTGATGATGCATACAATGGACTCCGGACTAGGTTCGTTCCTTTAAGTCTTCCTACCAACATGGCCAAGTTGCGAAAACAAGGTCAAACATCTTCTATTCGACTGGTTGATTTTTCCGACGCTAGTTGTTTTCAGTGAATTCATATCGTCCTACTTACAAGCGAGTTAGTAGCGACATAGTTAAACGCCTCAATGTTGTGCATGCCCCAGTGCCAGATAGCAGTCTCTGTCGCCGGTTTTGTGTGCGTCTGGCTGCTTCCTTCACCGTCAACTCGGCCACAGATTGTCCCATCTGCCTGCTTTTACAGCGTCAAGTGATGACAGTCGTAATAGGCTGGCACTGCGGCCCAAGTGTCTGTCCCAGACGGTTGGTACCGGGTGTCTTCACTTTTCCTCTACCCACTCAACATGCCCACGAAGTGGCCGTCTATCCTGACACAAGTTCACTTTGTTCGGTCTGTTCGAGCTGTCGCCTAATCTCGGTTTAGCCTCGGCTTGACTTCACTTCGCCCTCCTTCGACTGGCTGGCTCGTCCGGCCTTCGGCAGGAAACTTGATCATCTTTGTGCCGACCTCCACTCTTCGACATCCCAAGACATTTCCTCTTCTTCTCTCTTGCCCACATGACCCCACCTCCTTTGCCTCCATTCCTCAGGCTGTCGCTGCCTCGTCTGCGACTGACACAGCTAAACTGACAGACAGAAATACACATGTACAGATAGATAGATAGACAGACAGACAGACAGACATAGAGACATACGACTGGGACAGAAAGAGGAATGCTTGCAGTCTGGCATGGTACCATGTCATTGGACGACGTCTGGCCGGGCCGTCAGGGGGGAGGAGGCGAGAGGCGTCAGGTGCTATGGCCAGAAGGTGTAGGAAACGAGAGATCCGGAGACGCAGAAAAAGAGTGAGAGAGAGAGAGCGGGCAGACCGATCGGCTGGCCGGACAGAAGCCCGGGTTGTACAGTTTACACAACAGA